GTTTTTTATTTACAAGGTGATATTATTTTACATATTCAGAAGAGAATTTATATCATATCACATACTAATGTGTTGCATAATACCTTATCTCCAAGTGAAATTGTTAGAGGTTAAATCTGTGCAATCATTTCTAAAAGCCAGTCTTAACTTTGGTATCATTAATTTGATACCAAACATTAGTTCTCATGTTTCTAAGAAGGGTCATATTGAATTTGACCAAAGGCGTAGCACATCTGACATTTTATTCCCAAAGAGTTCAACCAAATTCAAAAAGATAGCCTATACGTTGGAGATGGTGCTACAATAGTAATGTTTCTCATTCATAATTTTCAGCAGTGATGTTTGGGAGGCATAATACCTTCTTTCCATCAGGTTATTAGACTCACTGATTTGTCTGAAAGGTATCTAAATTGGCGACAGTTCCTTAATACCAAATTTTGTGCAAGAAACTTTACTTGATTAATATGCCCTGTTGAAAACTTATGAACTGTATTAGTATTAAAGGTTTTCCCACAGTTTAGAAAACTAAATTAATAACAGCCTGTTCGCAGGCCTGCTTATGGTATTTCATTATGATTTTGAGTTAGGATTTCAATGAAGACGTATTTAATTTATAACTAAAAATACTATTTTGAAGCATTTTATGCTGAAACCTACAGTATTTTTGGCATGAGGTAATTAAAAGCAAATGCAAATAGTTAAGGTTTGTTTCACTGATGGTGACTCATGCCCTCATCACTTCTTAATTACACTGCTGTACACAACTTGAGATTGCCTTTGAAGACCACCCAGAAACCGCAGTTGGTAGAAAATGCAGCTGCTGTCTGTTAATCGGGGAGAGTTGCTGCAGCAAAATAACTCCTGTCTTGTGAGCACTCTATTGTGGGTACTCTGTTGAGTGCTTATAGGTTTCTGCACGGAATTCAAAGTTTTTGTACATATCTATTAAGCCTTACATAGTTTGGCTTCCTGTTTGGGGACCATCTCCTCCAGGTACAATCTGTCTTCTTCCCATTTAATCTATGAGGGACCATTGCTTTGGATTCTTACCTCAGTTGAGGCTAAGAATTTGAAGGCAGTTTTTCCTCTGTTGTAGCCTAAGTGTTATGGAATGGTTTGCACCTGCCCCAAAATAGACTGGCTCCCCCCTGCTTTATATGAATGCTGGAAGGTATCAAACTGAAATTAATAGAGATGTAGCCAACCTGTAGATATCATATCTTTGTATAAAGACTTATTTGTACATGTGTAAATCTGCCTTTGTAGAAAAAAATGAGCTCTGAGAGAGAAAAATAATTGATAGTAGATTTCAGGAAGAAAATTTGATAGTTTAATTTTTTATTGTGTGCCATCAAATCCATGGTGACCACATAAATATTCTCCATGATGATTTGTTTCTAACCTGGCCTTTCAGGTCTTTTAACCATGCCATTGCCACTATAACTGAGTCATCTATGTTGCTCTTGGTCATCCTCCTCTTTTCTTTCCTTCCCACTATTGGAGCTTTCTCCATTTAGGTCTTAATTTATCCAAAATAAAATAATATGACCTTGGTTACTTGTTCCTCAAGTGAGATCTCTGGGTTATTTGGTCAATGTCCTATTAATTTGTTTTCTTGACTGTCTGTGATATTTTCGGTAATCCTGTCTAATACCAAAGTTCAAAAATGTCAAAAATCCTTCAAAAAGGATACTCTTTCTCTCCTTTTCCCCCAAAGTCTGACTTTGGCTTTCATCTATCAGAACCCAGTTATTGGGAGGGGGGTGATTTCTTTATTCTATGTTTCTGCGGGTTCTGCCATACTCCTGGGGGAAGGGGGGAAGCTATAGGCCCTACAATGTATCCTCTCTGCTTTCCTCTATCTGCCTGCTCTTTGATCTATTTTGTTTGCTGCCAGCCTATGGTGAGAATGGAATGTGCTTCCGGCCATCTGCCTTATCTCTAACTGTGGAAGAAGAGGCACAAAGACCTAACAGCCTAACAACCTTGGGAATGGTGTCTTATCAACGCCGTTCCCACAGCAGGTTTACAGTTGGAGATTGGCTCACTTGAACTGACCAGATGGACTATCAGGGTAGAGTTTGCTGTTTCTCTTTTAACCTATTGATTCCCGTGGGAAATTCTCAGATCCTGCCTTTTATGCCTGCTGTCAACTTCTCCTAATAAAAGTTCCTTTTGGAATGAAGCTATTCCAGACGTTCTACTTTCTTGGGAAGAGGGATTGAGGCAGGTCCTTACATTAGGCAGGATCTGCAATTTTGGTCAGCTCGGAAGGAAGACCCTTACCGTGGGGACCATGCAAATGATGTCGAACCACGGCGTGGAGAAGGAGGAAGGCAACCTAGGCAGGGAAGCTTCTGTGCAGGTTGGCCTAAGTGGTGGCAGCTTACAGTCCTCCAGTTCCTCTGATGAAGCTGTGGCCACTGAGCACCGGAATAAACCGATGTGGTCGATGGACATTGGAAAAAAAGGAAGACTGGGACCAGAAAGCCAGAAAGGTGATCCTCAAATGGGGAAGCCACCAGCTGGGCTGGAAGCTGGAGATGGAGAGGTCGCTCCATCTCAGTGTAAGACAAGAGACCAGCCCATTCTAGCTGGTTCCTGGAGCAAGCAATCTATATGCTGAGGGTTGCTTTCGACTCCCTAAAGGAGGAAAAAGTGAACCCCTGCCAGGGCTCGATAACCACGGGCATGGCAGAAGAAGAGTGCATGGAGAGCAAAGTTGTGAACCCACCAGCATCTCGGAGACGGCAGCATCTGCAGCTGTGGCTGCCACCCCAGCGCAAGTTGTGCCAGCCAACGGAGATGGGCACTGGGCCAGATAGAGGAGAGGCCACTGGTCTGAATGAAAGTTCCCACCCTTGGGGGTAAAGTACAATGGAGAGCCTGAGAAATTGGGGTTCTTCCTGGGCCATGTCCTGAGCTACATGGAAGAATATGGCCAATTAGATGGGTCCCTCGTGGGGGAGTCCTAGCCATCCTCTCCATGCAGCCCATCCAACTCACTATAGGGGATCACATAGAGACTAACTTTCATGCTGACTCCTGGAATGGAGTGCCCGCTTGTTTTAGGGATGGTGTGGTTAATGAAATGGAACCCAAGAATGGACTGGAGGACAGGAGAAAGATCCCACAAAGGGAAATATGGCGGAAAGGGAGCAATCTGAACCCAAAAGGGGAATAGAGGTCCGGAAGGCATAGCCCTGGCAAACGATGGGGGGCTGGAAAGCATATCTGAGGAATATTGGGATCTAGCTGAAGAGTTCAGCGAAGAGAGGTTTGACGAACTGCCCCCCCCACCGACCCACAGACAAACTACCTAAGCTGAAAATGTATTCCATGACCCTCCGGGAGTTGAAGGAGTTACAAAAATTTATAGACAAGAATTTGGCAAGAGGGTTCATACAACTAGCAAAGCCCAAAAATTTAGCCCCCATGCTATTCCATGAGAAAAAGGACGGTTCTCTTCGCCCCTGCATTGATTATAGATCTCTGAATGTAGTGAGTGAGAGTAATCCCTACCCACTCCCCTTAATAAAGGACATGTTAGCACACTTGGTGAAGGGATTTTTTTTTCAAAACTGGACTTATGAGAGGCGTATTACTGGGTTAGAATTAAGAAAGAAGATGACTGGAAAATGGCATTTAATTGCCTCCTGGGGTGTTTCCAATTTAGAATGCTTCCATTTGGGTTGCAAGGGGCACCTGCCATATTTATGCAACTGATAAATGAAGTGCTCCAGGAACACCTCGACAAGGGGTTTACTTAGATGACATCCTGATATTCATGGAAACCAAAGAAGAGCGTGTCAAACTGGTTAGAGAGATGCTAAATAAATTATGAGCCACCCGCCTGCATGCAAATTGTCCAAATGCAAATTCCACAAGGAAAGGATTGACTACATGGGGTACCGCATATTTCCCACTGGTATAGAGACGGATCCTGAAAAGGTCCAAGCAGTGTTAGAATGGGTTCCACCCTGCACTTGGAAACAACTACAAAGTTTCCTTGGGTTCGCTAATTTTTATCAACAATTCATTTCCCCCCTTTTTCCCAAGTCGCATTACCCATCACAAATTTGTTAAAAACTAAGGGGGAGGGGAAACTGAAGCCCAGCCAGACACAGAAATGGACTATGGAGTGCCAAGCCGCTTTTGAAAAACTGAAAAGGCTATTCTTGGCAGACCCAGTCCGGAAACACCCAGACACCGAAAAACCTTTCATCATTCAGGCAGATGCTAGTGATGTAGCAGTGGGTACAGTATTGCTTCAGGAGAATAATGAAGGGAAATTACAGCCTTGTGCATACACATCAAGAAAACTCACAGAAACAAAACAGAGATGGGCAGTGTGGGAGAAGGAAGCCTATGTCATTCGTTGGGCTCTCCTGACATGGCGACATTTCCTGGAAGAGAACAAAATCCCCTTCCAAGTACGGGCTGATCATAAGAACTTAGAGGTTCTAAAAACACCCAGGAAATTATTCCCCAAACAGCAAGGTAGCCCCAACACTTCCATCATTTCAATTTCACCATTAGACACTTACCGGGGGGGGGGGTAAACTTCCTAACAGATGCTCTGTCACAATTACTACAATACAATAGCACAAAAACTGAGATAACAGACCTACTTACGACATAGAGGCAACTAGCAGTGCTAGTAACCATGTGAGGACAAACAAAAAATCTCAAACCACTAGAGAGCATGGCGTGGGTGGAGTTCAGACAAGCCTTAGAAAAGGGCAAATGGTTTCTAAACCATAAGAACATTTGCACAATGAATGATGGACTGCTGTGGGTTGGGGAAAGCTCTATGTTCCAAAAAGCCAAAGACTAACCTTCATGCACCTCTGTCATGATTCCAAAGTAGCTGGGCACTTCAGATTCATGAAAACCCTCCACTTGGTGAAGCAGCCATTTTGGTGGCCCTTGATATAAAAGGACATTTCATCCAGCTATGTGGCTAATTGTCCTATTTGCGCAGCAGCCAAATGAAGGCAAGGAAAGACTGCAGGATTGTTGCAGATGGTGGCAACCCCTCCAGCATGCTGGAGGGACAGTTCTATGGACTTTATTGTGGAATTACCAGAGAGTGGATGGAACACTGTCATTTGGGTAGTGATAGACCTGTTATCAAAACAGGTGCATTTCATCCTGTGTCAAAAAATCCCCGCAGCAAAGACGTTAGCAAAGCTGTTTGTGCAACACATATGCCAACTGCATGGAGCCCCACAACAAATCATATAAGATAAGGGGGTACAGTTTACATCTGAGTTCTAGAAGGTTTTCCTGGACCTTTTGGGGACCACTCAGGAGTTGCCATCTAGTCACCATCTGTAAACGAATGGTAGGTCAGAACGTTCGAACTCAGTACTGGAACAATACTTAAGATGTTTTATAAATTACCAGCAAGACAACTGGACTGATCTGCTTCCCTTTGCAGAAGTCACGTATAACAACACTGTTCACTTCAGCACTGGAATGTGCCATGTGCCAGTCACAACAGGACAAAGCTTTACCCAATGCCTGAACTACCAACTAATGAACCCACCATCCCCTCTCTGAAGGAATGGGATAGCACAACTCCAGAATACCTGGCCGGTCATGAGAAAAGCCTTAGACAATGCTAGGCAGGCATACAAGATTCAATCAGATAAAAAACGAATAGAACCAAAACCTTCCCAAGTAGGAGAGAAAGTATACCTGTCCACTAAATATTTAAAATCTCTGCAAATGTCAAAGAAGTTGGGACCAAAATTTATGGGTCCTTTTCCCATTAAACAGATAATAAATCCAATGACGGTAGAATTGGAACTCCCCAAAACACTAAGACAGGTTCATCCTGTATTTCACTGCAGTCTATTAAAACAAGAATTAATTTTGCCCTTAAGACCAGCTGTAGCCCCTCCTCCTCCCCTGATCATGGTAGAAAGATTAACATTTTGAGGTCAAAGAAATCCTAGACTCTAGAAAATATTATGGTTCCACACAATACCTAATAGCTTGGAAGGACCTACCTCCTTCCCAAAATGAGTGGGTTCATAAACGACATGTCAGACCTCCGAAATTACTTAATAAATTTCATGCTAAATACCCTGACAAACCGGAGTAACCCATAAGTGTTTTCTCTCCCTATCTTGTTCCCTCTGCAGGTGGATCTCTCATTTTTTTAAGGGGGAGCGGCATGTCAGAAGCCAGTTATTGGGAGGAGGGTGATTTCTTTATTCTATGTTTCTGCGGGTTCTGCCATACTGCTGGGGGGAAGGGGGAAGCTATGGGCACTACAATGTATCCTATCTGCTTTCCTCTGCCTGTCTGCTCTATTTCCTTTGCTGCCAGCCTGGGGTGAGAATGGAATGTGCCTTTGGCCATCTGCCTTATCTCTAACTGCGGAAGAAGAGGAGCTAAGACCTAACAGTCTAACAACCTTGGGAACGGCATCTTATCAACCCCGTTCCCACAGTGGGTTTACACCTGGAGATTGGCACATATGAACTGACCGGATGGACTATTGGGGTGGGGTTTGCCAGTTACTCTTTTAACCTATTGATTCGCATGGGGAATTCTCAGATCCTGCCTTCTATGCCTTCTGTCAATTTGTCCTAATAAAAGTTCCTTTTGGAATGAAGCTGTTACAGAAGTTCTGCTTTCTTGGGAAGAGGGATTGAGGCAGGTCCTTACAGTATCATATAGAACACAATTCTGATCTTTATTGGTATTGATACATCCTGTCATTTGAGGGTTTTTTCCCAACATGGCTGCTCTATCAAGTACTAGTCTGTGGCCTACTGGGTCCTTTGTTGTTGATGTTGATTATGTAAATAGCTTGGTCTTTTTTATTTTTAGTCCTGATGCTCCTTGGCTTTATCCAAATTATATTTTCTGTTAAAGTTGTAAATATTAAACATGTTTGCCATCATATTTTATTCTTAAACAAGGATGGGAAGTCTAAGGACCTCCAAAGATTGTTGAACTACACAATTAATTCCTAATTATTGGCCAATCGGACTGATAGTGATGGGAGTCGTGTTCCATTAACTTCTGGAGGCCAAGAGGTTTATCATACTTTTATAAAATTTTCTTTGTAGTCGCTCAAAAAATCCCCAAGCTCTTTCCCCATTATATCCAATTTAATTTAGTATTGAAAAACCTTTAATTTTCTTGACCAATAAGCTATTCCATCTGGCCAAATTCCTACTTACAGTTGGTCCTCAGTCACAGAATATATTGAATTAAACCTTTGCCAGGCTACTGCCACACAGCATGTAACTTAGGACAAGGTTGAAGCTAGAAGACTAAATGCCATGTAGTATAGAAAATTCAGGCAGTCTGGCATTATTTTTGAAATGAATTTCAGTATTATACATATATCATTCTTACATTCTTACCTACTTGAAATTAATTTCTCTTCCTGTTGTTTTTTTAATCTTTCCAGTGGCTTTTCATGGTCTTTCAGTGAAAATCAAGAAAGAACCCCACAGTCCATGTTCTGAACTCAGCTCAGCTTGTAGTCAAGAACAACCATTCAAATTCAGTTATGGAGAAAAGTGCCTGTACAATGTCAGGTAAAGTAACTAGCATATTTTGCATTAGTGCTTTCAGTAGAAACTTTAACATCACGATGATACAGTAATGAGAGAATTGAAATCTATTTTTTCTCCATCCTGGGAAGAGGTTCTGGTCTTGTGACATAGCTGTATCTGATCATACAAGTTTGTAAGTGGGGAAATAAATTCTTGTCGTGTTTAGTCCTAAGAAAAATAAGCTAGTTTGGGAACACAGTAGCTTAAATTGTCCCAACGATGCTTTTTCAAAAGGCAAATTAGACTTTGTTTTTCCCTGATCCCAAAGTCCAGTTTGCCTTTTGAAAAAGCACCTTTGGGACAACCATAATCTCAGATGACTGAGAATCTCCATAAACAATAAATTATTTCTGTTAGATATAGGGGTTTCTCTTTCGTAAAAAGAAACAGTATTGGCTGAAATGGTATTGGCTGCATGAACACTTGGATTTTTGTTTAGTTTGTGTTTTAAAAAATATTTTTTTAAAAATAATTAAACCAGCGTTTCTAAATCTTGGTTTCTTAAACTTGTTAAACTGTGTGGACTTCAACTCCCAGAATTCCCTACATAGCTTAACGCGGCTAATATAGAAAAATATAGTGATTCCTCTATAACTAGGCGTGCGGTGCTTCTGTTTGCCCCCACTTGAATGCTTTTGCCAATAGATGCAGCCAACAAGCCTATGAGTTTTTGTCATGATAGCACACTAGTTTGTTCTTGTCTAATACCATAACAGAGTTTCTGATTTGCATATTATGATGTACAGACCATCTGTTTGTTAATCTATCCATTGACAATTGATGTCAGGTGGGCATGATCAAACAAGGTGTATAGGAATACTTGCACATTTCTGGAAAAGATTACAAGTGCTCACCCTCCATTGCATGCAAATAATTGTAGCTGAATCTGGAACCTTCCACTGAGACTCATACATGATGAAACTGGTATTGATTCTTTGAGTGTAGGTTGAGATTAAACTAAAGTTCCTGGATGTTGAACACATCTGGAAGCTATCTATTCCAGTTTGTGAACAAAGGGACAAGAAGACTGTGCTGAAATTTTTTTGGAATAATAAATCAGGATAAAATTGTTTTGCAAGCTAATCTGGAGCCAGTGAACACTGTTATATAAGTATTCAACCTCCACTTTAAGTGACATCTGATACCTATATATTAGTTAATTCTCACTATCTGCCTCATCAGGCTGCTATGCTGCCTGAATCGGTGGTCTGTCATAGTTTGCAGCTACTGCATGATTAAGAGGACTCCTGCCTTTATGGAAACAAGAACAGGGGCTTTGCTTGCACCTGTTACAGGAGCAGTACCAAACAAAAGGGGTAGCCCTTTTCCCAGTTTCAAATGATTGTGAAACAAGTGAAATTATGAATCACCTGAGTGCAGTCAGGGTGGACAATGATCTGAAAGCTTGTTAAAGTTGTATAATGATATAGGATTATAGGAGTTGAAGTAAAAAATATGTGGGTCATTATCACTTCCCTGAAGGAGATGTTGTTTTTCTTCTTTGGAACTGCTTCTTTCACACATTCTGCATTGCAAGTAGAACTGTGCCTCCATTCATTTTCATTTATATCTTATTTCATTTCTATAATTTCCAGTGACAAAGAAAGTGTAAAAATGCAACAGAACACAACAGCTGGTTCATATGCTCTGTAAAAGTATCAAAAGCAATCTGATGGTGATGGTCTTCAATAGTATACTGTAAACCTGGGGAAATTAAGCCCATTGCCAAAAAGAAATCAAAGTGGGCATGAGGAATGCTTCCTTTGGAAGAAAGGTCCATAAGTAGTGTCCAGATGCATTAGGATGGGTATAAAGTGTCTGCCTTTTTATTCATCCCACAGAGTGCTTTGCAGCAATGTATTTACCCTTGGGAGTTCAAATACTCTGCAACCAAGACTCTAACCTTTTTGAAGAAAAAATAGCATCATTGTAATATGCATAACTTGGTATTTTTATTTTAGTTTTACTGTATGCTTCTAACATTCTAACAGTGCTTCTAACTCTAACATGGCAACAGACTCCTGAATGATGATCCGTTATCTGTCCCCTCTCTGGATTTTCCAGAACCCCTTTCTCATTGGTCATCAATAGGGAATGCTGAGAATTGTAATTCAGCTGTATCTAAAAGATAATAGGTTTCTTCTCCTAGATTCATATAAGGGAAATCCTTTTTTCCCTTCCCCAAATTTCCTGGACTTCCTTCATCTTTCAAGGATATGGATTATTAACAGGTTTATTCACTCGTTCTAATCAAATATGTCATGTTTAAATTCTTTTGAAATTGAAATTTCTTATATACATGCTTACAGTCATGCACACACCTATAGAAACAATGCAAATAAAACATAAGATGTCATTTTACTGGCACGTTTCTTGCTTAAGGATAATAATAGTAATAATAATAATAATAATAATAATAATAATAATAATAATAAGTAGTAGTAGTAGTAGTAGTAGTAGTAGTAGTAGTAGTAGTAGTAGTAGTAGTTGGAAGGGACCAGTCCAACCCCCTGCTCAGGCAGGAAACCCTATACCATTTCTGACAAATGGATGTCCAGTTTCTTCTTAAAAACTTCCAGTGTTGGAGCATTCACCGCTTCTGGAGGCAGGTTGTTCCACTGGTTAATTGTTCTAACTGTCAGGAAGTTTCTCCTTAGTTCTAGGTTGCTTTGGAGATAACTCTTAAGAGGTTGATGAAACTTAAAAATGAACCCAACTTCAAACAATGAAGCAACCTACAATACAGTCTCTGACTTCCAATTATCCAGTTAGCATCTTATATCTTCCAGTCATCTTAAGTCAATATTCTGAAGTGATCCAGTAAAAACTAGCTTCACTATTCTGCTTACTGATAAGACAATGTATTTGTTTCTAATTCCTATCAGGCTTTGGAATTACTCCTAATGCAGTTCAATCTTACTTTATACCTGAGAAATCCCAATCTGCATTTTTGATGCTTCTTCTCTGGCTAATACTGGCCAGATTCATATTAGAATTAGATGACCTAGAAATTTGATAACTACATGACAACTGACAAGATGTTATTTTAAATAAGAGTTTTCAGGCACAGGGGATCATTTTTAACACTGTTTTGTGGTAAATTCTTTGAAACTCAAAAGCTTGAATCTGTTATGTAAACGAGTCAGCCTAGCAAATGTCTTCCTTTTATGTTTGTGGAATATTTCTGATTTTTTTTAAATTTAAATTTTAACCATTTTTATTATATTTTACAGCTTTAAAAGTTCTTTTGTAAAATCAGCTTGTCTGATCCAAAATCTTTATAAAGCTGCAAAACAATCTTTATAAAAATTGTGGTGCAAGCATTTTGTTCTACATATTCTTAAAAAGAAAGAAAAACAAACTCTACAAACAAATAGCAGATGTATCTAACAAGCACAAAGAATAATCAGTGTGCATTTGTTATGTATATTATATCCAGAACTTCCTAACTGGGTTAGGAAATAATGCTGGATAAAGAATGATTTATGCTTTGATCATCTAGTAGAATCAAGGTCTCATGTTCAAAATTAGACTTAGTTATTGGGCCAGAGGAAGTTGATTAAATACTGTGCTTTGTGCTACAGTGTATTTGGTGTTGCCTATGTGCATAATGTGAACTTAGTTTTTGCATTTGTAAACCATAATTCAGGACTTTACATGATATCTAAACTCAGCCATTATGGTATAATAATGTAATTATGGCTAAAACAATCTGGAAGCAAATGGGGAAATAAAATTCAGAATTATACATATGGTCTGTCTGGATCAATATTCCCTAAAATTGTGCCCTTCAGCTGTATTTTGGAATTGAAACCCTCAGAATTCTCAGCAAAACAATAAAGGGAATCAGATATAGATAAGATTGTGTATGGTCTTGATTGTGCTATCAAGTCTAACTGGGATATGCTAGAAACTGAGATCCGTATCCATTGATGGTTCACAATCAATCCATCCATCTATTTGAGAAAGCCTTTTTATCTCTTCCCTTGTTTAACAAATAGTGCCTATGATCAGAAGCCACAAGTGGGAATGAGGACTTCTAACCCACCAACTCCATCAAGCACTCCAGTTTCACCACTGCATCATGCATCTTCAAACTCGGTTCAGAGTTCTAAACCTGACCGGATTTTTCCAACTCACTTGCCTCCATCCCAGCCCATCCCAGACAATAGCTTTCCTATGGATCACAGGTAACAGAGTCAATTCTTCCTATGTTTGTTTTCCACTGCAAGTAGGTTTGTCCTGCCACTTTCTTATTTTGTATTTATTATTGAATATCTCAGGATCATCCACCATAGTTAATTTTTTTAAAACCTTGAGAATAATGAATGAGTGAATTTGCATATATGCAGAGACAGGAACCACAATCAAAACATAGAAAGATAAAATATTCTGAGGAATGTATTGTCTATCAGCATATATGGTAGGCATATATACATTTAAAAAATAATTCAGAAAAAGGTCCTTCAGAGTATGCAGAAATTTGAGCAGAGTATTTTTGTGCTAGCTAATTAAAATAGCTTTTTTAAAAATTCTTCTCAAGCCTAAAAAAAGTTGCTACTTATTTAAGAAAACAAAACAGCATATTTTTCAGGACCAGACAAAAGCATGATAAAAAACATGTCTTCTTTAATGAATAGCAGCGAAGCTTGAAGGATATCTTCCAAGTCATTTTCAGAACATGCTCAGTTCTAATACATAAGACTATATTATAGCATTTTTTAATGTTGTGTTAACTGGACTACAAAATTAAAAGCTCTTGATTTTTGCAAGTAAAAATCAGTTGAGAAATCATTAGCACTAGACAATCTGAAAATGTTTTTTTAAGGATATTTTAATGGCAATATATATTATGATCAACATCTCATAAAATTCTACTGTATTTGGACAAAGTAGGCAATCTTCTATAAATTCCATACAGATAAATGCTATTTATTTGACTGGAAAACGTTTGCTACATAGGTGGTTATTTTTATGAGGGTTACAAATCATTCTTTGTTCGTTGTTTTGAATTTAATTAAATCAATTGTACATAAATATTACTGTTTACTCTTATAATTTGCATAGTATCCATTGAAAGGGTGTGGGCTTTTTTGTTTTTTATTTAGTCCTTTGAGCATTTTGAAATGCACAAGCTTAGGAAAAGGAAGTTAAACAGCCAAAACAAACTATGTTCAAATAACTTTAGACTTAGCAAAACCGCAAAAGCTAAAAAATTGAACTGAAGCTTCAGCTACGTCCCTGAATCACCCTGCTTATTTCTTAAATTTGAATTTCCTAAGGCAAAGCATCCATAGATTAAACCAATCTATTTTGCTTAAATTTAGTTATGACTATATTTGCATTCTGATAATGATCATTAAAGCAAGTCTATTTTATTCAATTGGCTATGTTCTAACCTTATCAGAATGTACTCCAGAATTCAGTTTTATTGTGATACCATATTATTTTCCACTCTCATAAAGTGTAGTAATGTGTAGGTCCATAGCTAACATACTATTTATGAAATTTCCCTGATATACACAATGACACAGATAATTTAGTGATGTTCCATTAGTCTTTGAATTTGCATTTTAATTTTAAAGTCAGAATATCACCATATAAGTTCCTTATTAGTTCCTTCTAATAGACTTGGATAATAAAAATTGCTTGTTGTCCTGCAATTTCATCTGCAAAAATGAAAAGACATCCAAGTTAATCCATTGAACTCAGTGGGCTTTCTTCAATATTAAAATGCATTTTATTTATATTAATATAATACGAAGGACTGACTTGATTTTTTTTGGCTAGGTAGTTATGGGATAACTCATTTATGTTTCAGCAGTTGCTCATTGGTATATCTAGCTCTTTTTTAATTGCATAGTTACATGATTGTGACTAGACTAGACCAAAGGAACCTAGGTTCGAGACAGAACAAAAACTCAAAAAGTTAACAAAATGTGATGAACCATGGCTCAATATATTTGTAGCTTCAATAAATTATTAAATTGTTGTTAGCTGCTCAGAATCACATGTTAGCTGCCCAGAATCAATACTATTGTATTCTATTATTTGTGAAAAGCCCAATTACCTTAATGAGTACCAAAAAGAAGCAAAGCTACTTGTATAAAGACACAGCTTGAATCCATCTTTCCATGCAAGTATTATTAACTTTTTATAGGTATAGTACACTAACAACAACAATAATAATAAAAGTTGGAAGGGATCTAGGAGGTCATCTTGCCCAACCTCCTGCTCAGGCAGGAAACCCTATACCATTTCAGACAAATGGCTGTCCAGTCTCTTCTTTAAAACTTCCAGTGTTTATATATATATGCAGTCATGCAGAAAAACAGAATCAGTCTAGCTATTTTAGAGCACATTGAATAAAACACTTTTGTTTACTAAATGTGTAGGCAAACAACAAAGGCATTACTCCTTCCATAGGGACATGGAATATTCTTAGTTGTGCAGAATATAATTGCTTCTGGGGGAATGTCACTTTCCTTCTTTGCCATGAATGATTGCATAAAATTAACACTAAAAGATAAGAAATAAAAACAAAAGTTATTTTTAGCAGCAAACACTTTGGTCATCAGTCTTCTTGTTCTTTTTCTGATCTACATCTACTTAGAAGGGAAACCTCTGAAAGAAATGAAATTTCCTTTCACTTAAATGCTTACAGTTTTTTTGTGGCAGATTTTGATAAGTTTAAATACTGTATGCAAAGATGGAATACTCTAAGCTTTTTTCTGCAACAGCAAAAAGCTCTTCTTCCTTACCACTCTGTCCCGTCTTAATTTCATGTATTAATTTCATGTACAATTATCCAAATTGTTCTTGAGTTCCATAATTGGTGGCTGGGGATGGGGGCAGCAATATTTAAGTTGAATCTAATAAGCTAAATTGAAATCATATGAATGCTGGGTAGTATAACAGGTAAGGCTTGGCTTGTATTTAACAGCAAAAGGATGAGAAATATTTTTGGACTATGAGTCTAGTTGTTATTTTCTCCCTCTTTTTATACATTCCTTCTTAGTTTGGTTTGGGCAAACCATACTTCACTAATATATTAAATTTTCTGTGTCACATTAAATGAAATGTTTTGAATATTGTACATGCTATTTATATGTAAATTATCAATCCAAATAAATAATATCATTTAAGTATCTGTTACTTGAATAACTGTAAAATCAGTGTTTCTGCAGACCTCTTTCTTTAGCAAACAATATAGTCTTGAGTTCTTTCTTTCTTTTTTATGTTAGAGCAGAAAACTTGATCAAATACAATTTAGAATACATTTTACATTTTTAGCAAAGGCAAGCTTTTACACCATAATCTGTAAAGCTTTAATATAATATACATACATACTTACATACTTACATAAATACATACATACATACATACATACATATTTAAATGAAGAACTAAGCATTATACAGTTTTTCTTTATTTTTCTCGTTGTGTGATATGAAACACTTTCGTTCATTTATCTGCTACTTTTAGCTATTTTATTAATATCAAATGAACAAAAGGGAGCATACTTAATTGGTGCTTAATAAAACTGTTTATCATGGCAGGGCCAACCATGAAATCTTTCTCTAAGGGCAGCTGTTTTTATTTAATTCTTACAGAATGATGTTTCCTGTGCTGTCTCTTAGATTCTTGTTGTATTCTGAAAAAAAATGTATCCATGTTTCTTTCCCAAGAGAAAAAATAATTTCCAAAATTTACTATCATTTTTCCAATGCCATCTGTTGTGACAGTTTATCTTTCTTACCACCCTGTCCATAATCCATTATTTCTCCATGGTACTCCTCTCTCCACCATCACTAGATTAATAATGATTTTCTGTGTTATTATCCTAGATTTCGTCGTCAGCTCTCAGAACCTTGTAATTCCTTTCCTCCTTTGCCTGCCATACCACGGGAAGGACGTCCGATATATCAACGCCAGATGTCTGAGCCAAACATCCCTTTCCCACCTCAAGGGTTTAAACAGGAGTACCATGATCCAGTATATGAACACAATGCTATGGTTGGCAATTCAGTCACTCAAAGTTTTCCTCCTCCTCTGATGATTAAACAAGAACCCAGAGATTTTGCATACGATTCAGGTAATCCAAACATATTTTTTCTTCATCTTCTGTTCAGGAGGATTTGGTTTATTTGACCAGATTTGATTTATTTTAAAGATTTAAGTCTGAAAAGCTTCACTAGGGACAATATTTCTAGTTAATTTAGGAGCATTCTGTTTTAACACTTTAGGTTGTTAATGAAAATACAGGTTTTATCATACCAGATTCCTCCATTAAATAAAATAAAATTTTTTTTCAAATGATCTTGTCATCTGAAATTGAATTCTATCTATATAAGGATACCAATGCCAAGGTACCACAGTCTGAAGTGGAAATTTAATATGAATATTAAACCCAGCCTGAATTAAGAACCTGCATTGAAAGCATTAAATACCACTATTCCTCCATTTTTAGAATCAATACTCTGATTTTTAAGTTAATTAACAATGCAGTAGAGGAACCCTGATCAGTCAAAACAATGAAGATTGAAATAAAGTTTTATCACATAAATAATTGCATATCAATATAATTATTCACTAATATTTTTATTTATTTGAACTTGAAATTATCTAGAGATTTGGAGACAAAACTGATGATAAATCTAACACACGATTTCTTTAAAATCCCCTCCATTTGATAAACCAACTTTTCATTGATAGTCGTTCATTTTTAATAATACTTTACAGGGGATACTTTTGACACTCTGAAGTAAACACTCTGAATATATTTAGTTTTAAGTGAAATTAGTAAGACGATAAGAAAGGATAGTATTTTGTAATTTACATATCTCTGGTTATTGCCAGATGTAGTTGTAAGATATTTACCCCAATCTTCAGATGTTGGAAAAGTTGTTCTTCCTGGAATCCTCTTTCTTTATCGAAGAGATTATCATGTTGTTGGTCACTTAAAAATTGCTGAGTAAGAGGTACTATTGATTCCTGTTAATCATATTCTATTGCATTTGGTAGGATTTTTATTCCTCTCAGAGAGGAAGAGATTGCAAAAATGTGTTCAGCTTTTTGAAAACATTTTGCCACCAATGATTCAAGGAAAGAGGCACATTTTTAGGAATTCCCTTTTAATAGCTTACTTGGGTATTCAGCTGATACAGTAACAAAGCTCTTGTTTTTATATTTTAGCAGGAGGGAAGTAGTTACTATTTCTTATCCTTAAAGTCTGAACTGAAGCTGATTTATCTTGCCCCTTCCTCAACATTCTGAAAAATTTGGTAAAATAATATTAGAACTTCTATTTCCCATAGTCATTGGTTTATATTTTGCCTAAGCATAATTGTTGATTCTTGACTTAATTGTTGATAAAATAGTATTAACTCCTCTGAACTAATCCTCCAAAGCATAAATTAAAGCAGTTCTTTTCTCCCACTGCTCTCTTAGATTAACAGTATATTAAAATCAAAATCTTGTTCTACTTATCTTGCTTTTTCTACAAGGATATCAGAGAAGTGAATTGAGTTATCCGTTTTCCATTTTATCATTACAGAAGGACTGCTAATGTACCAATCCCTTTTACATTTTTTAAATCCAGAAGAGATAATCTCTTTCAAGACTTAGGACATGAGCCTTCATAGTAAAATCTGGATTTCCACTGTTCTTTGCCCATGTGTGCATTGCAAAAATTATCTGGAATAGCAGGCTGAATTTTCTCAGTGAGTTATCTATTCCTCTCTTTCTAATCCATGACCTGATTCAGAATGAATTGATGTTAGAAAATCTTGGGGTGGCTAACTTTGGTTAGCTTCACATTCTGAATAATGAGCTGTGAAGGAGACCATTGTGTTAGATGGATCTCTCTCATTGCCCATATATTTGTGGGGAACAAGAGTGCTTTTCATCTTTATAAATTTGGCATGTGATTAGTCTTTAATACCAATTAAGTTTTGTTTCTTATTCCCACCCATTCTTTTAACTTCAGGAGTTGGTCTCTGCTTCTGCAGGACAAAATATTAGTTTAAAATGATTTAGCAGGACAACCAGTAGTCATGAAGAATTGATTTGTGGCCTTAGAGTACTTTTTATGGCTCTAAATTCCTGCATTTAAGTTAGCACATCTGTACCAACATAAAATGCAGTCAGTGGTTTGATGGTGCTTTGCCTTGTTCTGCAGAAGTCACCCTTTCCCTTATCTTTGCTCTAAGAGTACTTTAAATAACCCTTTTGGAAGCATAATGCATTTTGCCATTGAATCATTGATTTTATTATGTTTATGGATGTTTAGGGATAAGTCACACTGAAAAGGAGCTTGCATAATATTACTTTGCTATCTAGATAAAAAAAATAAAAAATCTCTTTTGCAAGATCATTATAATAAGATGTTCCTTCTGGGAGATTTTGAGTCTCAACACTACTTATTGCTTTTGAGCTCCATATTCTTACCCATTTTAGAAAACTGCTGAATGAAAACCATTATTATGGAATGATTATAACTCTATTAAAACATGACATTAATTATGACATCGGAAATGGCAGATCAATTAGTTGTAATTGCAGGTATGCAATTTCTATTGCAGAATGTTGAGATAATGGAACATGGAAAGAAATAGAAATGTCAACACAGTAGAAGATGTTTTATTTTTCCACCCATCCTAGGAGCCATGCTGTGGGGATATTTCAGACTACAAAATGAAATAGTAATATCTATTAGAGTACACATTTTTATAGATGCTTTCTAGGTGCACATAATTCTGTGTGGGGAAGTATTCTAGGTCACAGAGTCATAGCATCAGAAAGCCATCTAAACTATTGAATTCAATTTGCTTGGCACAGAAATCCAATGTAAATTATCTCTAAATGGATGACTATTGTTTAACCTCTGCAGAACACATCTAGCAAAGGATTGTCATTGTCAAAATGGTCTCCCATTAGGAAGCAGAATTTTGCTATTTATTTTTTTATTTGGTGCCCTACCTTCTGTGGTAATAGAGAAAAGGTCTTGGCCTTTTTCATGACATTCCTTTAGGTACATGAAAAGTATTAGCAAATTTTCTACTTTCTCATCTTTATTAAAAATAGTAAGTTTTCCTCATAAGATTTAGGTTTGAGGCCCCTGATTATCCATACAGTCATTTGCTATGCCTTTTGCAGTTTCTCTGAATCTTTGTTAAAATGTGGTGACCTGAAATGGATGCAATATTGCAGGTGAGACATGGAACTATTACTTCTTATGGTAACTATATTTCTGGTGATTCATCCAAAAAATGTATTTACTCTTTTAGAAGATCAGTCTTATTTTTTAGGTGTGGTCACCCTTGAGAAACTAGATTAGCCACAACATTATATTCTTCTAGAAACAAATTAGAGTGGAACTTATTTGGATGACTTTTAAATTTTAATTTATTGAGAGAACCCCTTACATTATGTATTTATGAAATTTATGTGGCCATTCATCTTAAGCAAATAATAATCATAAGCAAAGAACAATAAAAACAACATAAGTACAAGGACAAGCACAATAAATATAAAAACCAAGGCAACTTACACACTATTTTTAAGGTGACCAAGTTTTTTACAATGAAAAGGAGGATACAAATAAATTGAAGAAAAAATATCATAAATAAAAGAAACATTTTATTCATTGCAACAATAATACATAATACACTATAATATGATAAATGCATAATAAAAAAACATTTGTAACAATAACATTTTATGTTGTAATTATGCTTACATGCCGCACCCCCGCCCACAGCCACCCCACCACCACTGCTGCCCCGCCATGTAGAGTGGGCTCCGCGGCTCCCAAAGCACCAGCTGCACTGGCTCCAGCCCTGGGGGGCAGCCCGCCATCGACACACCCCACCTGCAGCCGCCCCGCCACCACCACTGCCCACCCTGCACAGCCCCATGTAGAGCAGGCCCCGTGGCTCCCACAGCACGGGGGCAGCTGGCCACCACCATCCCTCACAACCCTGCCTGCAGCAGCCTCACCGCCCCTGCCTCTTGCGCCCACAGCCATTATTGCCCTTGCAGGGCTGAAGATCAAGAGAAAGTTACCGTGGAATTGCTGCTCCAGTCTCCTCCAGGTAGGAGATGGTGTAGTTGGGTAGCAGGGAGGGGTACAAAGTTCCTGCCAATTTGCCTTCGCTGCAGACAACTTACATGTGCAAAGTTTGCCGGCCGGGTGTTTTGGCGCGCTCAGCAGCAATTCCTATTGGCTTTTGAAAGCCAATAGGGGGAGTAGCACAGCTCATGCAAAAGTTGAAAAAAAACCATCAAAAAAAGGTGCCGGAATGCCATTCTGAGCGTTCTATGAGAAAAAAAGCCCTGCAGATTAGTTTTCAAATATTGAAAAGGAGGACATGTAGGAGGACACTTTTTGAGGGAGGACAGAACTCACAAAAAGAGGACTGTCCTCCCTAAAGGAGGACGGTTGGTCATCTTACTATTTTCATTTACAAATTCCCCTATATCAGGCTCTGCTAACAGCCTGGCCCTAATGCCTGTGAGAAAAGCCATTTTTTTAAATGGCCCAACAGAACTGGACCAGCCCAAAGGAAAAGCTGTTCCACAGGGCAGTTGCTGCAACAAGAAAGGAACATCTTCGAGGCCCCACAAGATAGTTTCTGTGAGGACACCTGGACCATGTCTAATGTGCCATATCTGGTGGGGGCAGGCAGAAGCAACTGGAAACTGACAGTCCCACAGGAGGGCTTTAAAAGGGTTTACAGTGAAATATGAAAACATTTTACTCTGCTTTTAATTTTTGTCATATTATACTGTGGATTTTTTTGATCCCAGTTGCAACATCCTAGGGTCATGTGAGTGCCGTTTGTGATCTTCGCAGCTGACTTCCACTCGATGCAGAAAGCTTAAGGGTCATGTAATTCACTTTATCAGGATGATTCACTTAATAACCATGCAAAATAGTTGTAAAACCGGACATGATTCATTTAGCAATGGAAGTTCTCGCCCCAATTGTGGTCATAAATCAAGGACTATCTGTATAACTGTACACTCAATTTTTTTCTTAAATCTCTCTTAATCCTTTCTTAAATTTCTGCATTTGTCTCTTAAATGTCAGTC